GTTTTTTGAAACTTATTTTTTTTTTTTTGTCTTTTTATCCTCATTCCAAATGATCAAAAAAAGAGGAAACCAACAATAAAACAGGAAAAAGTACTAAATTATTACTATATTACTATACTATATAGTAGTAAAACGCATGTGAACAGTAGCCTACTTTTTGATCAGTTCATCAGTAATATTCATGAAATAATAGATATTGAATGGTTGTTTGAACTTATTTGCATGTTTTTTTTTCTTTTTATCCTCATTCCAAATGATCAGAAAAGAGGAAACCAACAATAAAACAGGAGATAGTACTAAATTATTACTATATTACTATACTATATAGTAGTAAAACGCATGTGAACAGTAGCCTACTTTTTGATCAAGTCTTTTTATCCTCATTCCAAATGATCAGAAAAGAGGAAACCAGCAATAAAACAGGAGATAGTACTAAATTATTACTATATTACTATACTATATAGTAGCAAAACGCATGTGAACAGTAGCCTACTTTTTGATCAAGTCATCAGTAATATTCAGGAAATAGTAGATATTGAATTAATGTTTGAACTTATTTACATGTTTGTTTGTTTTTTTTTGTCTTTTTATCCTCATTCCAAATGATCAGAAAAGAAGAAACCAACAATAAAACAGGAGAAAGTACTAAATTATTACTATATTACTATACTATATAGTAGTAAAACACGTGTGAACAGTAGCCTACTTTTTGATCAGTTCATCAGTAATATTCAGGAAATAATAGATATTGCCCTGCCACTCAGAAAAGAGGAAACCAGCAATAAAACAGGAGATAGTACTAAATTATTACTATATTACTATACTATATAGTAGTAAAACGCATGTGAACAGTAGCCTACTTTTTGATCAAGTCTTTTTATCCTCATTCCAAATGATCAGAAAAGAGGAAACCAACAATAAAATAGGAGAAAGTATTAAATTATTACTATATTACAATACTATATATAGTAGTAAAACACATGTGAACAGTAGCCTACTTTTTGATCAGTTCATCAGTAATATTAAGGAAAAAATATATATGGAGTGGATGTTTGAACTTTTTTCAAAAGTTTTGATGTGAAGACTTTTTTGTATTTTTATCCTCATTCCAAATGATCAGGAAAAGAGGAAATCAACAGTAAAACAGGAGAAAGTAGTAAATTACTACTATATTACTGTGCCATAGTAAAATGCATGTACCTATTTTTTGATTAGTTGAACAGCTATCTGCACAATCAGGTATCTAGGTGACACAGTTTATAGTTATTGAGAGTATGGTACCTCTCATGGCATGGCACAGCGCACTCCTATCTGCCGAATCAGGTATCTAGGTGACAAAGTTTATAGTTCTTGAGAGTATGGTACATCTCATTGCATGGCACAGCGCACAGACCTACCCCACACTGACGGCATCTGTACTTTGTAAGGGTGCAGCACTGGTCAAACCTTTCTCTCCTAGATAACCAACAGGCTCATCAAAGCATTTGATCCAGTCCTGATACACTTCTTTATTTCTCAAAAAAAAACCCAGCCACCATTGTCATCGCTATTTCCAGCCCTATTTAGAGCCAGATCACTCCTGCTTCTATCTCATCTCCTTCAAGCCATTTCTCCTGCAGTTGTACCTGCAGTCACTCACATCGTTAACACTTCCCTTCACACTGGTGTTTTTCACTCAGCATTTAGACAGGCTTGTATAACCCCACTACTTAAGAAACCCACCCTTAACCCATCTATTTTAGAGAACTACAGACCGGTTTCCCTTCTTCCTTTCATTGCAAAAACACTTGAATGAGATGTGTTCAACAGCACTCTCTATTCTAATTCTATTCTTTAAAAAAAAACATGCCCCTTTTAGCCTTGCACTCTATTTATTTACTAACAGCTTGTTTTCTTTAAAACAATTAAACTAACACTAGCTTCTTTAATCTTTTTGTATTCTATCTGTTTTCTTTTTTATTTATTTTACAATTAACAAAAGCAAAAAAGGGCTCTAACACTAGCTTGCTCTATTCTTTTCCTATTCTATCTTTTTATTATTATTTTTATTTTTTCCGTTTTCTTTTTATTTATTATATGATTTAATAAAAAAACTTGCTACGTGTACTGCATTAAGCTAACTGAGACTTGTTATTGCACTTGCATATAATTTCTCTTTTGTTGATTTTAATTGCTTCCATTGTCCTCATTTGTAAGTCGCTTTGGTTAAAAGTGTCTGCTAAATGACTAAATGTAAATGCAAAATATTATAAAGCAAATAAATGACTGAAGCACATGAAATTGCAACACAGGCAGTTAGTGGCTGTTTCTATGGGCCACTACATGTAAGCCGTATGTCATATTGGAACATCAAAGCCGGTATGTGAACACTCGACTCGAATGTGTCTGCAAACACATATTTGAATATCTATATCAGCAATAAAGTTCAGCAGATTATTTTGTTAAACTAACACAATACAATAAAAAGAAAACAAGTAGATAGAATAGAAAAAGAATAGGGAATAGTAGTGTTAGAGGGTAATTTTTAAATAAAAAGAAAAGAAGTCGATAGAACAGAAAAAGAACAGATAATGCTTGTGTTAGAAGGTCATTATTTATAATAAATAAAAAGAAAATAAGTAGAAAGAATAGACAATGCTAGTGTTAAAGGCTCTTTTTTTTCTTTTTAAATAAAACAAGCAGTTAGAATAAAAATAGAATAGAGAGTGCAAATGTTAGACGGTCAAATTTCTTTAATAAAAAAAAAAAACAAGCAGATAAAATTAGCATTATAATAGAGAGTGCTAGAGTTAGCGGGTCAAATGAAGATGAAAGAGATGTGTTTTCAGCCGTTTCTTGAAAATATTAAGGACTGGGCAGGTCATTCCACCAGGATGGAACAGTTAATGTAAAAGTCCATTTAAAGTTTTATCATAGGTAGAATGCAAAATGTTTCAATACAAGCATTTCAGTCAAATGTAATTTATGCAATATTTCAAACCTTTAACTCACTTGGGAAAATCAACCCATGGCAACAGTTTAAAAGTATCCCAATTCTGTGGAAAAAAACACAGACTTGGCAACCCTGTATCCAAGAAGAGCTGCCGGAGTCAGATTTAACTGATCTCAGGTTGAGAATAAGGAGAGATGACTGACAAGACCATGCTGGAGTATTTGCTGCTCAACAGATCCTGAACTCATTGCCAAATATCTGATCTTGTCAGATGTGCTCCCTTTACACAGAGTGCGTGTGGTCGCAAAATTGAAAGTGAAAGTGAACAGCGTGAATGCTCATTCAAAAGGGATTTAAATACTCTGCATACTGACAGCGGCTCCCTGATGCGGCAAAATTATATATATTAGAATGTTTAAAGGAGTGGACACAAAAATCGCTGGAGCAAAACACGTCAGGCGGCAATGATCAGAGATTCAGCGGGAGCGAGATTAAGAAAACAGCCGAATTCCGGACATTTTGGGCGATTAAGAAATCCCAGCCGGACGCATTTTTTTAGGTCCAAAAAGAGGACATGTCCGGGGAAAAGAGGACGTATGGTCACCCTAATGAATTAGTGACTATTAACAGTTGTTAATAATCACAGCTTGTAATACACAGCTTGTTATCAGGAATTCTTGTTATCACCATGGCCACATAAAAAAAAGTAGATGAGGTGGGTTGTTGATTTTATAAACACTGGAAATCAGATTATTTTTCACAGAATCATAACTGTGTTTGTCTCATTTGCCCAGGAACAATTTTTTTTTCATGAAAAATATGTGAAGAGGAAATGACAGGACAAAGTTAAAGTCAACATGAAAGTTGCCTTTCTTCCCTATTGTGGCATATATTCAACTGAAATGGCTTCTGGAACAAGAAAATCTGTTACTCTGTGTCTACACCGGACACAAGCGGCGCGACACGACACGACTAAAGACAATAGAGCCCATTATTGAACCCATTATAATATTATTTTGTCTACATTGGATGTAGCACATCGCAAGCGACAAATCCCCGATGGTCCCATTCTATTTCTGACAAACTCCAAGTGCTCACGCTGCTTCTGATGTAAAAAGGAAATGGTTTGGAATGATTAATTAATAAATTTATAGTGATGCTGAAGAAGAAAAAAAAAAGATATATATATATACATAGAATCTGGCCCTCTTTAATAAAAGGAATACCCCTACCTATATTTATACACACACACACACACACACACACACACTCACACACACATAGACTCTGAGGAGTTGAAATAATAAAATGTCATGCTTGACATACATCAGTTTGTCCAATGAGCAGTTTGAGTCCTCCAGTTTTTCAGAGAGCAGCTTGACTCCTGAATCTCCGGGGTGATTGTAGCTCAGATCCAGCTCTCTCAGGTGTGAGGGGTTTGAACTCAGAGCTGAAGACACATAACAACAGCCTTCCTCTGTCACCATACAGCCAGTCAATCTACAAATACAGCAACAGTCCATGTGACATCTCTTACACACATTTATACTTATTTCAGCCATTAATTATTCCTATATGGTTATGTCTTAAGGTTTACTTTGTGTTAAAAATAAATGTCTCTCTCATTATAGATGTAATAATGTCACTATCAACATATGATGTCAATGATATAAAAACAAAAAAAACAAAAAATGCCATGTACATATTATAAATAAAATGATGGAAACAGCTGTCCAGCAGTGTTAATTTAGTTGATGAATAATTAATTTAACTTAATTTAATTTAAACATAATTTTCGTCAACATGTTTTCACCGACGAAAACGAGACGATAATGAAATAAAACCTAGTTTTGAATGACAAAAACTATGACGAAAATCAATTGGCATTTTCGTCAACGATTAAAAACGAGATGAAAATGTTAGGGAGGGATGATTTGGGAAGAGATCCAGTCAGAACTAAACTCCTGCTTGGTTAGGAGGTTAGATGCAAACATTTGAACTGTAACAGCCTATTAATCTATCAAGCGGGACATAAGTATTGCTGCACATCTCATAAAACATTAAAAAATGACCATATCTGGGAGTAAGAAAAGAGCAGACATATGGATACATTTGAAAAGCATGACGATGCAAAAGAGAACTCAATTCGGGCCGGTTTTCTGAGCGCACACACCTGAATCCCACACACAGAAAAGCGACTCTCAGACAGCGCACGAGTACTGAATTCAGTTCTCTTTCGCGTCGCATGAATGGAGAAATACACACAAAATGATGTTGAATTGTCCGTTTTGACTATTCACGTAAACACACTCGCTTACGTCTTAAGTGAACCAGATCCCCTCCTTTATAAGAAAATGGATCAAAGTATCAATTATTATATAAACTTAAACAATTATTATCAATCAATTATTATATTAATTAAATAACATAAATGTTCACTTCGGTCTAAACAAAAACAGCAGATGGGCTTATTAAAAATGCACATTCTTTCTCTGTCAGCGATTGGCGCGTTCGGAATGGAAGAAATATAGCGGTTTAATGAAAGAAATATAGTTTGTTTAATGAAATCATAGCTGTTTGAAGTTTAATCGTCACATTAAGCCATATCGCAATTCTGGTCTTTCTGTGCCCAAATTTAAAACCTCTTGAAATCATAATTAAGACTTTCTTGTAAGATTCTTGTACCATTCAAGACTTTTTTTGTCTTGAATTCCCCCCACCAACAATTCCTGCCGGACCTGACACTCGAACCCACAACCTTTGGGTTACAAGTCCGGCTCTCTAACCGTTATGCCACGACTGCCCCCTCTATCAAAATAAAGTGTGACCTAAGACTTTTTAAGGACCAGTGGAAACCCTGTAAACTGAAACCACTCTTTTATTTGAAAAGCATAAGAATTTATTTTACAAAAATCAGCAACTGCAACAAAGTGGGAGGCACGCACTATCCACTCATCTCCAATCATCTGTAAGCAGACTGGGATTTGAGAGATGGAAAAGGAGAAAAAGACAAGAGCTTAAAGGGGGAGCTGTAACATAGCCACATATTTATAGCCTAATAAAATATACAGTATTCAAACCAAATGTAAGTACTGTTAGTATTAGTATAGGTCTACATGTTTTTTATTAGCCTGTGATAAATAATACATTACAAAAACATTGTAAAAATTAAAAACATACCTTATGAAAAGTCATCCTACTCCTCTATTACATCTACTACTATCGTCGCTTGGATTACAGCGTCACACGCCTTCATGTTGAAGGTGATTTTTCTCCAATGAGGGGGAGGAGGGGGCAGAATGTTTGACGAATCACGCTACAGCACTATTATTATTGCACTGATTGGCTATTAACTGTGAGCAGACAGACTGTCAGTCAATGCATTGGAGAATATGGCAAACATAAATGTAAAGAAACTCAGATTCTCCTTACAAGCAACCATATCTTTTAAAATAAGACCAAAAAAACGCAACCCGGAATTTTTTTTAATGCAACTTAACAAAAAAAAGAAGCCCAAAGTCACATATTATGAACAGACTTGGCAACTCTGATTAGTGTATTGTAGCCGTGTATTCGGTTTTAAAGGGGCAGTAGCTTAATTTAGTTGCTGTTGTAAAAAAGATCCTTCAGTCTCTGTCCTCTCCTCTGCTATCTTTGACAAGTTTGAGCCTGTGACTTTGTCAGTATTACATGAGATTGTTGGTCATCTGAAGCCCTCAGGTTCTCCATATGATGCTGTCCCTCCTCGACTTGTCAAGGACGTTTTTCCCACCGTAGGGCCATCTGTTCTTGCAGTTGTTAATAGCAGTCTGTCATCAGGTGTGGTCCTTGAAAATTTTAAACACGCAGTAGTCCAACCTCTGATTAAAAAACCTGGTCTGGATCCTACAGATCTTGCAAATTTTAGACCTATTTCCAAGCTACCTTTTCTTTCAAAAATCCTCGAAAAGATAGTTTGTAGTCAATTAATGGCCTATCTGAAAGATCACAATATTCTTGAAGTTTTCCAGTCTGGTTTTAAAACTCTACACAGCACAGAATCTGCACTTCTAAAAGTTTTTAGTGATATCCTTTCAGCTACTGATGCTGGTGATTGTGTTACTCTGGTGCTTCTTGATTTAACTGCTGCGTTTGACACTGTGGACCATGAAATCTTAATTTCTCGTTTGGAGCAGTGGGTGGGCATCAAGGGCATAGCGCTCCAATGGTTCAGGTTCTATTTAAAAGGCTGGACTTTCTGTGTTAGCTGTGGTGACTCTGTGTCCTCTTCGGCTCCTCTCTCTTGTGGGGTACCGCAGGGCTCAGTTTTAGGCCCTCTCCTTTTCTCTCTTTATTTGCTCCCCCTTGGTTCAATAATCAAGAAGCATGGCTTGTCATTCCATTGTTATGCGAATGATAGCCAGATTTATGTGCCACTTAGAAAGAATGACACTGTCAGACCGCTACTTGATTGTCTTGAGGATATAAAGGCATGGATGGCTCTTAATTTTTTTAAGTTTCAATGAAAACAAGACAGAAGTGATGGTTTTCGGTGGGACTACTGGGACCCCTCTGGTTGATTTGGGTGCATTGGCTCAGTACATCAAGCCAACCATCACTAACTTATGGGTGAAAATTGACTCGGATCTTAAACTTGACAGTCAGATTGTCAAGTCCTGTGTTCCAGTGTCTTGTGTTTTTCTCCCCATGTTCTCCCCATTACCTAGATTCTCCCTCATTTCAATTATGTTAATTTGTTTCAGCTGGTTCCCGTTAATTTCCTTGATTAGTCCCATTACTTAAGCCCTGTGTCTTTCCATGTCTAGCGTCCGGTATTGTTCGTCAACCCCTCATTCTACGTGTGTGTTCCTGCCTGATCCGTGTTCTCCTGTATCTGGATAAATAAAGAGTGTTGAATGTTAATCCCCTTCGTCTCCTCCACAGTAGACGCATCATGACACAGATCAGGGCAGTAGTTAAATCGAGTTTTTTCCAATTGAGGCAGCTGGCCAAAATAAAGCCATATCTTCCAAGGCAAAACTTTGAGACAGTAATCCATGCCTTTGTAACCACTCGGCTAGATTACTGTAATGCACTGTACGTGTGGGTTAGTGGGTCTTCTGTTGCTCGTTTGCAGATGGTGCAAAACACTGTAGCGCGTCTTTTAACTGGAACACGTAAATATGAGCACATTTCCCCATTTTAGCTTCACTTCACTGGCTGCCCGTACATTTTAGGATTCAATTGAAAATTCTTCTATTTGTTTTTAAATCCCTAAGTGGGCTTGCCCCACCTTACATTTCTGAGCTACTACACCCTTACATGCCCACCTGTTCTCTCGGGTCAGCTGATCAGCTGTTCCTGAATGTGCCAAAAAAAGCAAAAGCTTAGAGGGGACCGTGCCTTTGCTGTGGCAGCTCCTAAATTATGGAATGATTTGCCTCTGCCCATTAGGCAGGCCTTTTCATTGTCTTTATTTAAATCGTCTCTTAAAACATATCTTTTTTCCTTGGCCTTTGACACCTGATGTTGATATTTATTTATTTTATTTTTCTATGGTCTCTGGTGTTTTAATTGTATTTTATGTCTTGTATGAGGATTATTTTTCTGTACAGCACTTTGGTCCACTTCGGTGTTTTTAAAGTGCTTTATAAATAAAGTTTGATTGATTGATTGAAGAACCCTAATGTCACGATCACCAGCTGGAGTGCCCTTGATAGCCACCAGAGGGCACTCCATCCGAGAATATTGTTACTCCCTCACAAACTACATTTCCCAGGACCCACTGTCTAGTCTCATCATTACTGATTGCATTCAGTTGTGTCTCATTATCTCATTACCTCTGCCTATTAAAGCGATGTATCTTTCAGTCACTGTTAAGCCAAGTTCACACTACACAACTTTAAACGTCGGCAGATCGTTGTGCCGTTCAGACTACATGACTTGCTGTCTGTCTTGAATTCGTTGTGGTGTTCTTCTTTTTTCTTAGCGTTTGCATTGCGTGCCCAGCCACAGAACAGCATCCTGTTCATCCAGGTGTACAGCATCGAGTCCACCGTTGAAATAAGTCAGCGGACACTCGTTGACAATGTGCTGCATGGTTTTAGGTACCCCACAGCTGCAGTTCGGATTAGTGGCTTGGCCCCACCGGACAAGGTTGACTGCACATTGACCTTGTCCCTTCCCGTTTAGCATTGACCAGTATCGTCGAGGAAGGTCAAAGCCAGGAGGACAGACCGATGGCTCAGTTACGAGGGAGTGGTTGCTGCCCACTCATCGCTCCATGCCGAATTGGCTATCATATCCTCTGGCGGCAGGTCCAGCCAGACAGGTTTTTTCGATGACAGGCAGGCTGCTGGATGCAGTGTAATGTCCGTATTGAGTGGCAACTTGTCATTTGCTTGGACTTTAGTCAGCAGCTTGGAAGTGGCCTCCTGTCATCGGTGGTGGTGGTATGTTGCTGAGAACAGGCAGCCATGGAAGAGGAGTAGAACGTAGAGTTCCAGTGATTGTGCGCATAGACATGTTTAACTGAACGTCTGCTAGATTGGTGTGAGATGATCTGGACCAGACTGGTGCACAGTACTCTGCTGTTGAATAAAACAGAGCAAGTGCAGTGGTCTTTAGTGTCTGGGCCCTTGCACCCCAGCTTATGCCGGCCAGTTTACTGAGTAGATTATTTAGAGAGCTGATTTTAGCTGCTGTCTTCTTCAAATGATCGTGATATGTTAATGAGCGGTCCAGGGTAACGCCGAGGTACGTCGCATTTGGCTCATATTTAATCCGATGATGCTTGAGGAAGATATTGAGCTCCCATTTGGCTTTTGCATTGTGGAGATGGAAGATACTAGATACCGTCTTCGTTGCACTGGGTTGGAGTCGCCACCTACTGAGGAAGTCCACCATCAGATCCATGTCCTTGTTCAGTATGTACTCGACCTCGTCAAATGTCCGACAACAATATGTAAGTGCAAATATTTCTTATTTCCTTATTGCCTTATTTCAAGTAGAAAAATCTAAAAATTCTTCAATCAAGATGCAGTTTCTATATAAAATAAAATACAATATTTAGTCTTGTTTCCTGGGGGAAACAAGTAAAATTATCTGCCAGTGGAGTAAGAACAATAATCTTAATGCAAATGGAAACAAGATTATTTTTCTCACCGCACCACTTTCATTTTCATCATGCAGACACGATAAATGTGACAAAAATGGCATGTCTTTTTACACGGGATCCTGTAGATGAGGAGGCTGTATTAATTCGTTACAATTACATCAGGAGAGAAATTTATTTTACTTTATTTTATTTTGTCATATCCGCATGCTAGACATGTTTAACTGAACGTCTACTAGCTTGGTGTGGGATGATCTGGACCAGACTGGTGCACAGTACTCTGCTGTTGAATAACACAGAGCAAGTGCAGTGGTCTTTAGTGTCTGGGCCCTTGCACCCCAGCTTGTGCCGGCCAGTTTACTGAGTAGATTATTTAGAGAGCTGATTTTAGCTGCTGTCTTCTTCAAATGATCGTGATATGTTAATGAGCGGTCCAGGGTAACGCCGAGGTACGTCGCATTTGGCTCATATTTAATCCGATGATGCTTGAGGAAGATATTGAGCTCCCATTTGGCTTTTGCATTGTGGAGATGGAAGATACTAGATACCGTCTTCGTTGCACTGGGTTGGAGTCGCCACCTACTGAGGAAGTCCACCATCAGATCCATGTTCTTGTTCAGTACGTACTCGACCTCGTCAAATGTCCGATGTTGGGTCCCAATGCAGATATCATCGGCATAGATTAATTTGCGGGACTGTGTTGCTGGAAGATCATTAATATAGATGTTGAAGAGACGTGGAGACAGGACAGACCCCTGCGGGAGTCCGTTTGCTTGTCTTCTCCAAGAGCTATTTTTGTCTACCATGTGTACTCGAAAACGTCTGTCATGGAGGAAGAGTTCTATAGCCTCTACTGCCCAACGCGGTAAGATTTTGGATAGTTTCAACAGGAGACCAGCATGCCAGACCGTGTCATAAGCCGCAGTTAGGTCAAGGAAGACGGTCCCAGTTTTCAGATTTGTCTGGAATCCGTTTTCAATGTATGTCATCAGGGCAAGGACTTGGTCACCGGTGCTACGTCCTTTCCCTGAACCCTGCCTGCTCATCTGTGATGGTTTTCTCCAGGACTGGGCTGATTTGGTGAAGAATCAAGCGTTCGAGTATCTTGAAACACACGGGTAGCAAGGATATTGCGCAGTAGCTAGCCGTGAGATTTGGGTCCTTGCCGGGTTTTGGAATGGCGATAACTTTAGCCTGGCACCAGGCTTGTGGCATCTTTTTTTCTCGAATTGTCCGCGTGTAGAACGAAGCGAGCCATGATTTAGCCTTGGGTCCAAGATGTTTAAGAAATTCTGGCAGGATGTTGTCATATCCTGCGGCAGAGCCATCCTTCACCGTACGGAGCACCGCCTCCAGTTCTAACTCTGTGAATTCCTTCGGGCAGTCACCCTCCAGTCCGATTGTCTTCAAGCGACAATACTGCCGCCACTCGTTGCGCACAGATTGACAGTGTGGCTTCGACAGTGGAGCTTTTGCCACCTGTAGAAGGTGGCTGGCAACGGCGTTTGGACTGATGGCTGGTCTAGACTGTCCTGGGGGTCTGGAATGTCGGGTTTCCAGACCATTCGTACTTCTCAAGGAGAGCTTGGCATTCAACATCCAAGCACGGTGTGTAGACTGGCCTACAGCCACGGGGGATGGCTGTAGTAGCAGCGCTGAAAATTGCTCCTTGGAAGCGTTGGTAAGCCTCCTCGATTGGGATGCAGCGAGAAGGGATGGTTACTACACTCCTCTCCAGCTTGCTACTGTACAAGTCCCAGTTGGCTTTACGGAAGTTCCAGCGCTTCTTGGATGTCAATTGGAGTCCTATGTGGATGAGCAAAGGTCTGTGCTGATTATGAGGGAAGTCTCCCAACACCGTCTGGCTGGCTGGCTGGGGGTTGTCACTGAACGATGTGATCCAACACATCACAAGAGTAGTCCTTTTGCCATCTTGCCGAATAGAATGTACCACATCGCTTGGCATCATGGGTCAGAGCGGGATCACTGTTGGATGCCCATTCCACCAAGGTCTCTCCATCCTCGTCAGGTTCTGAATAGCCCCACTCAGGGTGATGGCTGTTAAAGTCGCCCACGTATGCCACGGGATGCACAAGAGCTGGAAGCACACCTTGATGAGGTTTATAGACATTGGCGACTCTGAATCCTCCAAACTGAACAATGTCACAGAAGTGTGATGAAGAGACTGGGGAGGCATCAGCGACATATGTTGCCCGGCCGAATCTTGCATCTGGTGTTGACGAGATTAGGTCAAATCCTCCAATGGTGTAGCACCCCGCTGACTGGTCTGCTATGTGTGTCTCCTGCAGACAGATGACATCAACGCTGTGACGGTGGGCTATGGTGCTGATGAGTGTTCATTTGGCTGCAGATAGACCCTCGACGTTAAGTTGTAAAACTCTAAGTGTCAGTCCAATGGCTTGAAAGTCACTGCACACTGGCTTGACGGGATCTGCTGATGATTGTGGCACGTGACCGGGATTCAATACTGGAATTCGGTCTGCTGGTTGGATCATTGCAACTTTGGGTCCTGGCTAGAAACCAGGTCGGAGTTGACAGGGAGCGCGACGAGAACGCTGATCCAATGCTCCCCATTGTGACACTATGTGCTCCCCCGTTGTCACATTATGTAAATGATCCACAACACGGGGTCACACACTACACGAACTGACTGTCACTCAACGACTCTATCCGGTCCCCAAACCACGTTTTGTCATGAAAACACGAGCGAGAATTTGAACACGAAACAAGTGAAACCGGAGTTGTTTATTTGAAAATGGTTGTTGTGAAGAAATTGACGCTGCAAGCTGTTTGCATGATGATTTGTTCTGAAAAATTTCACTCCATTTCTTGAGTCCAAACTTTTCTTAAAGCAATGTTGCTGCTGCCATTTTTTTTTTTCTGCTGACCTCAACCCATGCCTAGTTCTCTTATTGGCTGTAGCTCGTTGCGACACCTGACACCATGTGATGACGAGTCAGCCGGCCGGTGAACTAGGCATTAGTGAAGTGTTGCCGTATGTCACTCTGCAATTCTAAACATTTCCTTGTTTCATGTCTCTTGGTTTTTGATTCCCTGCCTGTGCTTATTGCCCTGTTGTTATTGTTTGGTTGATTGCCCGTGTGTATGATCTTTTGATTACCCTTCAATAAATACTGCATTTGGATCCTCAGCCTTCGTGTCTCAGTGCAGTTTGTGACACCTAACATGTCTAAGTAAAGAGAAATTGCTGAATTTAAGTTTCAAAGGGGATGTACTCATTTATGCTGTCCACTGTATTTACATTATATATATATAAAGTCCACCAAATCAGCGTATCTTAATGAATATCATTTACATGTAGCATGTCAATTCTACGTAGTATTTAACACGCTCTTATTCTTTCTCTCTTTGTGTGTGTGAGAGAAAAACAGAGCACTCTCAGCTAAGCGATGGTGAGTCAGGCACCTAAAAACTAAAGTTTACAGTAACTTTGTAACTTCTGGATACTGATTTGATGTCTTTTGTGTAACCAAAACACACACTGAGGACACGTCCCCATCAATTATACGGGCAAATTCTCCCCACAATATTTCCTATTCTTCAGGCTACTCTGCTGCACTCCGTTGCGTGTCTATTGGCTTTTTGTCTGGATGACAAAACATTCAAAAAGTTCATTTTTTACGTTGGTCTGCCTCAGCTGTCTAGTTTGTGTGTAGCAGCATTTACTGTGAACAGAGCCACTCAGAGACACTGACAACACTGGATCATGAGCTGCTTGCATGTAAATTAACATACTGCCATGCTGTGTATTTATATAAAAATTACATCACAAGCTTTACAACTTGATAAATACACTAAATATTTAGCTCATTTATTATTATTGATTGAAAACCATTTACCTCAGAATCTCCAGCTGACAGTTTGGACTCTTCAGTCCATCAGAAAGAAGCTTCACTCCGGAATCCTGCAGGTCATTGTTACTCAGGTCCAGCTTTCTCAGGATGGAGTATGAGGATTGTAAAAGTGATGACAAACTCTCACAAGACTGAGCAGTGAGATTACATAAGGACAATCTGAACAAGAAAAAAACACAAAGTAATTGGATAAAAAATTAATCTTAGCAGTGTGATTTTTAGTAATAAATGTAATGCAAAAAAAAATCAATCAAGTATTTGAAACTCAAACCTCAGTATCTCCAGCTTAGAGTTTGGACTCTTCAGTCCATCAGAAAGAAGCTTCACTCCAGAATCCTGCAGGTCATTGTTACTCAGGTCCAGCTCTCTCGGGACAGAGTTTGATGATTGTACAGCTGAAGACAAACTCTCACAGGACTGAGCAGTGAGATTACATCCACATAACCTGTGTAAAGAACAAAACAAACAATAATATAATGTGTTTACTTATTGTGTTTATTTATCTGGTAGGGTTTGTAATCTGGAGTACAGATGACTTCCAGAAAGCTTTGACTGTGGTGATACAGTTGAAGTAAACTCAATGATCAGTGAATACATCTGATGGTTTTAGCTTTCAGAAAGAATACAAAAAAGAAGGCAATAACACAAAATGAAAGGGCTTCCATTAAATGTTAAATGTATGTTTCAGTAATTAAATTCTTTATAAAACACCTGTCACAGCAAGACAGAGAAGGGACAGTGAATCCAGTTGCAGCAAGTTTGTATTTGTTTAAATAAAAAAAATAAAAAAAGATTGTCCAAAAGGGTCCAAAGAAAAAAAAAACAGCAGGCAAACATGCATAGACAATAACTGACCATGAACTAAAAAAAAAAAATAAGATGTATAAATGCACAAGATAATTAAGAACCAAACTAGATACAGGTAACAAACTAATCAGCAACTATGGAAACAAATGAAAACATACTTAGGAACCAAAGAAACAAAGGACACAGGAAATAAACACTGGAAACAAGAAAAAGATACAACAGGATGAAAAGAACATCAAAATAAGAGTCCCGGAACAGAACCAGAGCATCAACCTGACGACAGCTGGACAGTTAACTTGATGTTTCATTTACCGATCATTTTCCTTAAAGGGGTCATATGATGCGATTTCAAGTTTTCCTTTCTCTTTGGAGTGTTGCAAGCTCTTGGTGCATAAAGAAGATCTGTAAAGTTGCAAAGACTAAAGTCTCAAATCCAAAGAGATATTCTTTATAAAAGTTAAGAGTCAGCCACACCTACCTAAAATGGCTCGTTCTAACACGCCCCCACATACCTACGTCACTATGTGGAAATATTAGCATAATGCCGCCCAAATGTGCACGCAAAGAAAGAAGGTGTGGTTTCAGGAACAGCAGTAGTGTTGCAGTAGTGTTGATGCAGCCATGTCAGTGAGACGCTGTGTTACAGTGCGAAAGCAAAAGCAAAAGCACTTTATTTGGCCTTCCGGAAGTAGATGCAATTAGGAATCATTGGTTAAGATTTAT